TAATATTATATATATATAATTTTATGAATTTTATTTTTATCTTCTTTTTTAATATCTATATTTTTAATTAATTTATTTTAAATTAAAAATTTATTATCTTTTTAAATAATATTTGTAATGCTTTTTTTTGGCTGTAAATTTTGGTTAAAAGCTATTTTTTAAAAATATGATGGATATCTTGTGAAACTTTGTTTTGAGGATAAGACAAATATATATTTTAGATTGATATTTGAGAAAGGAATATCTCGACGAGAATAGAATTAAAAAAGTGGCAAATGTAGCTAATTGTAAGAAGAAGAAATCATCTTGTGTATAAAATAAGGAAAGTCATTCATTTTTTAAGTTGTAATTTCTAGAACATTTATTTTTGCCGTTTTTTTTTTTTTTGCAAATACTGCATATTTATTTTATCTTAGTACAAAAGTGTATTCATAGCATAATTGAAAGGAACAGAAAATTAAATAAGTCTGTGACTGTTACATTATCTACATTTAACACGAAATAGTTACATTTATATAAACGTTAGAAAAAAAGAAAACATAGATAAAAATTAAAACAATTCAAATGGAAAAAAGAAGTAACAGCACAACAGATGAGCACAGATTTCGAAAGTGAATCGTATATAACACAATAGTGCGACTAACGTATTTTTGTATATAAATAAATGCTTATGAGTATGTCCTTATATGTGTTTATCTTTTTTCGTGGCATTCTGCGGAAGGTGACTGTGATAAAAGCCAGTTAGATTTCAACAGTTAGAAATTGTCGACGAAATATAACGTAACGTCATGGCTGAAGGTAATAGCAGTGATGTAATGGAATCGTTGTCGGCGGCCGAATTTATCGCTGAAAAGGCACAAGATGTATCCATCAATGAAGATGCCATCAAGTCATTGGCATCGCACGTATGTTTCCCTTTAACTTCTGTTTAAAAAATTTCGAAACATTTATGACATGTTCATGATTCGTTTGCGAATGTGGAAAGAAAAGTCGATAATTTAGTTAAATTATATATATATATATATATTAGGCGCGTAGTTTTTTGGTAAGTAAATAATTCAATACATTTTGACAAAACGTCTTATTTCGAGAAAATAAAACATAATTATAAAGAAGGATATATATTTAATAAATTTTTTTTTGTATAAGTGTGTTTCGGGGATAATACATAAGAAAATGGATCTTTTAAATAAAGAATTATATCAATCGAAGAAAAAGAATATACATTTTCAAATTTTTAAATTAATTTTTCGATAAATATAACACTTATTGAATCAATTTTATTCTAGACATTCGACTTACTTTTTGAACATTTACTTATACGATTAGTTGCATGATATCCTTCATATAGATATATATAGAACATGTAGCGAATATTTCCGTATTATTCGTGATTTGAAGCCCAAGTATTGCGAAGGTATTTGGCAAGTTAATGTGTGTTATTTGACTGTTGCATATGTGATATTTGAATATTATTGTTGTATGAACAAAATTAATTTCTTTTTTTTTTAGAATTCCTCTTTTGCAAAGAGGATACCATTAAAATAAATATTTTGATTGATTTATATAGGTGCTGGTGTGGTTTAAAAATACTATTGAAAGTGAAGAGATAAGAGACATGACTGATACAATCGCAAACAAATTCCTGCGAAAATATGATGTTTATCCACATAAAGATGATCCCAGAGCGGCGGATTGGCTGTTTGTGTTGCATACATTGAATTTTTCACTCTGGCATCCAAAAGGTACTAAGCAATGGACAGTTGATGGTGAACACGGATATCTTGCACTATGCTTTGCTATTAAAAGGACCATTGATGTGAGTGCTTATTCACTTTTGAGTGACATATTAGCATAACCACCAATATTATTATATTACTGTATTTATCTCATTATTTTGTATTCTTTCTCTCTCTGTTGAGTGTACTGTTAATATGATTTCATTTAACTTTTTATTATATTGACTTCTTTTGTTTTTACAAAATATTATTAAAGTTTGTCTTTTAACATTACACACATGACATATTAAATTTTCTTTCTCTTGTTGACATTTCTTTTGTCTGTTTTTAACTTTTATGTTTGTGCTAAGCATTTCTGTTGCTCTTTTGCATTTTATTTTATCGAAAATATTTGGTTAAGTAAGTCTATTTTGTGTGCATTATATAAAACTAATCGTTTTTTAAGAAAAGTACGAGTTTGTAATAAACAACTACATATTTTTTCTTGAAAACAATGCTTTCTTTACACCACAACTGAGATTTCTCTCGTTATTTTTTACATCATATTTTTTAGTCATCCTACCCTTATTACTTTTTACGCCGAATATTGCAGGAATTGATTTATATAAAAAAATTAGAGTGCCCTAAAAAAATTAGAGATCCCATTTAAAAAAGAGTTTCTTTTTTTCTATAGAACCAAACAACTTTTATTTAAAACATTTTTTTAAATATGAATCCAAAAACAAAGTTATTTGGAATGCAAAATAAATGAGACATTCTATATATTACATTATTTTCAAAATTTGTTTAAACGCGTTCTATATCTTTTTAATACTAATTTTTTAATATAATATATGATGCTTCTGCAATAGAAAAAGATGCGTATATGGGTTCCTAATTGTTACTCAAGAATGACACAAAGTGAGTTCGAATACATGTTCCGAGGTGATGATAGCGAAACTACTATTCCACTTATACAGGAAAGACTTAAGATTTTACATGAAGTTGGAGAAGTTTTGTTGAATAAGTATAAAGGTATAAATTATGACAATAAAAATTGTATATGCGTAAAAAAAAAATTTATTTTACAGCATTTTCTTTTAGTCGATATAGTACAACATGTTAAGGGCCGACCGGTCTTTTTTTGTTGCTTGGGGAGAGACAAAAATAATTTTTTTAATGAAATTTTGATTATAAATGTACATAGGCAGTTCACATTTTTCTCAAAAATTCATAAAAAAGATGCATATAATTATTATTAAAATAATATATTAATGATATTGTTATAGGTACTTTTACAGAATGTATTAAATTATCTGGAAACAACGCAGATAATTTGGTAAAATTACTTTTCGATGAATTCGAGATATATCGAGATGAAGCAGTATACGAAGGCAAAAAGAGTAATTATATTTAATAGTATTATACAGGGTATTATACATATTATAAATACAGAGAAGTTTAAGAATCTCACGCACAATGATACCATCAAATAACAAAAAATTAGTAAAAATAATATATCAAAAATTTTTTAAATAATAAATTAATTTATAAATTGGCATGCATTTTGACCTATTTTTATTTACTATAATATATTTATACTAGATGTATTTAAACATTAATGAATATTATACAATTATAATTGTGTGTAATATTTATAATTAACTAGTTTAAGTAACTTAGTGCGTTTTATATATTATTTCATTATTAGTTTAGTAATGTTATATATATTTATTAAATTATATTTTGCAGTTCGTTTTTGTAACAAAGCTAGAGCACTAGTAAACGACATATGGAGTTACTATAAGAAATGTGAACCTAAATTTGAACTAGATAAAAAGAATTTGATGTCTACGATGTTTATAAATTATCGTGCTCCCGAAATTCTCTTTCATTACGGAGTTCTTCGTTATAGTGACAAGCTCGTGACTAGATTCAAAAATAGCAGTAAGATACTTAACATTAAATTATTTTTTACGAATAACAAATCTTTTAATCTTCTAAATATTTAAAAAAATAATACAATAAACTTTTGTATCATAAAATACTAGTAATCTTCTTTGCCAAAAATTATTTCTATTACTATACATATTTATTCAATATTAAAGATTTGCAACGTCTACCTCCAAAGTGATTATCTCTCAGGAGATATTTTTCATACAAAAATTTCTGATTAGTCAACCGGAGCGCGAACTTTATTTTATTGATTTGTCTGGACAAAAATGAGACGAGAATGAGATAGAAATCAATCTAAAACGACATTTTATGAGAATGTTTTATTCATCTACATCGGTTTTTGTTATTAAATAAGACATAAAATTTGCTCGCTCAAAAATTAGAAAGATAATTCACGATCTTATAAGTAGATTAAATTTGATTTATAGCCATGAGACATTGCTATTCGGCGCTCTATAATGTCTTTCAAATTTATAATTGTTTTGATTATGATATTTTACAATTTTATATATTGCATAAGTTTGTATTTAGAAAACATTTTTTGTCCTAATTAATTTTGTTCTGATATGGATAGTTCCCGATATTTTTAGAGAATCATAGCAAAATGCATTGCATTTTTTTCGCAGAGGAACCGCTTGAGCATGGAAGCAGGGAAGAACTTGAGATACGCGGTTGCTCATTTTTCGCTGCTAAAAAAGTATCCGAAGAAGTATGGAAGATAAGCAGGAATTACATAGAAGATATACCTATTCTAAAGACAGATCATTTTATGGTACCGGTGCTGGTCGATAATTACTTGTTCGTATCTCTAATTGAAATTTTGGATAAAGAAAATAAGGACCAAGAACCATTCCATTATATCAGAACGGTGCACTATTAGAACACCATTATCGTTAATTTGAAACTATCTTTTCAAACGTATAGCAATTGCTTTTATAATAATATGTCATTATGAAGTACAACATACTCTGCATTAGTGTAGTGTAATATCTTTTTTTAATCATTATTAGAAGACTTCTTTTTATTCTTAATAATTAGTAGAAGAAATATAAATTATGATTTATGAATTATATTATTATAATTTATAAATTATATTATTATAATCCATTTGATTTTAATATAATTGAGATAGATTTTAGGTAATTATGCAGTTTAGGGACGATCTCACACACACACACACATTGTATATTATCAAGGACACGATTCTGAGTAACTTTCAAAAGGTTTTAGCTGTGGCTCGTTGTATATTAAAAAGCTATTAACAAAATAAGTTTAATGAGTAGAACGCAATTTTCGGACATATATATATACATATATATTTATATTGTATATATATTCCTATATTTCTGAATATTAATGAGATTTGAACATAAATTCTCTTTCTCTATGTGCGTGTGTGTTGCATTTTGCCGAGGCTTATATTTTTCTCTTCTTACACCCCCGAAAAGTTATTTATCTCAAATAATGCTTCACACATCACACACACACACACATAATATTCCTTCTTAAATGTATATGATGTCAGAAAATTATGTTCTATTCATTAAACTTATTTTGTTAATAATTTTTTAATAAACAACGAGCAACGGCTAAAACATTTTGAAAATTACTCGGGATCTCGCTCTTGATAATATATATCAAGGCTATTGTAATCTGTAAGGTCGCCCCTAAACTCCATAATTACTAGATTTTATTTTATACAAAAATATTTTGCTTTTATTATATTTTAACTCTAATACAAATAGGATTGTATTGAAAAGATTGGCATATATTTGAAAAATGATAATATACAGGGTGAGTCACTAGAAATTGTTTTCTAAGATATCTTCATAAATATTGATTTTAAACAAAAAGATTTAAGACAAAAGTTAAATTATTTTGAAAGGGCTTTTTGTAGTTTTAGTTTTTATTTAGGTGGAGGCGCCAAAAAGTTTTGAGAATTATTTCAAGTTTTTTAAATGGAAAGCCCTATTTTTAATCAGCTCTATTGTAGAGGATAAAAAGACAAATCGACACTATAATGACCTATAACACTTTGACCATGAGGTGATCTTGAAATAAAAAAAATCTAGAAAAAGGAGGAGTAATAGATAGGTAATAAAAGTAATAATTTTTTAAACAAAATGAATTAATTTTATTTAATAAAATACTCAGTGTTACCTATTCATTTCATGACATGTTTGAATATGTTCTCTGCGAAAAATACGCGAATTTTTTGCAATATATCTTTTAGAATCATTCGATAAGCATTGGTAAAACGTTTCATGTTTTCGGAGTTGATGAACACAATGTTGATGAACACAAGAGAACAGAATGTGTCAATGAGATTTCATTGGGATGACAGTGAACACATAGTGTATCGAGATGTACCAACAAGCCCCGAAGACATGAAGTAACGCATTATCAATGTCGATTCCAAAAGATAGTATCTTATTAAATAGAACTAATTTATTTTGTTTGAAAAATTATTACTTTTATTACCTACTTATTTTACTCATTCTGGATTTTTTCATTTTAATGTCACCCTATAGTTAAGGTTATAGGTCGTTGGATTCGTCTTTTCATCCTCTACAATTATAATCCTCTACAATTATTAATTTAGAACTTTTTGGCGCCTCTTCTTAAAAAATAATTAAAATTACAATAATGTAGACTTTTCAAAATAATTTAACTTTTGTCTTAAACCTTTTAAAAATAATATTTATGAAGATATCTTAGAAGGCAATTTCTAGTGACTCACCTTGTATGTTTTCTTAATATATGCAAAACTGAGAAAGACGAGCAACGGCTAAAACATTTTGAAAATTACTCGGGATCTCGCTCTTGATAATATATATCAAGGCTATTGTAATCTGTAAGGTCGCCCCTAAACTCCATAATTACTAGATTTTATTTTATACAAAAATATTTTGCTTTTATTATATTTTAACTCTAATACAAATAGGATTGTATTGAAAAGATTGGCATATATTTGAAAAATGATAATATACAGGGTGAGTCACTAGAAATTGTTTTCTAAGATATCTTCATAAATATTGATTTTAAACAAAAAGATTTAAGACAAAAGTTAAATTATTTTGAAAGGGCTTTTTGTAGTTTTAGTTTTTATTTAGGTGGAGGCGCCAAAAAGTTTTGAGAATTATTTCAAGTTTTTTAAATGGAAAGCCCTATTTTTAATCAGCTCTATTGTAGAGGATAAAAAGACAAATCGACACTATAATGACCTATAACACTTTGACCATGAGGTGATCTTGAAATAAAAAAAATCTAGAAAAAGGAGGAGTAATAGATAGGTAATAAAAGTAATAATTTTTTAAACAAAATGAATTAATTTTATTTAATAAAATACTCAGTGTTACCTATTCATTTCATGACATGTTTGAATATGTTCTCTGCGAAAAATACGCGAATTTTTTGCAATATATCTTTTAGAATCATTCGATAAGCATTGGTAAAACGTTTCATGTTTTCGGAGTTGATGAACACAATGTTGATGAACACAAGAGAACAGAATGTGTCAATGAGATTTCATTGGGATGACAGTGAACACATAGTGTATCGAGATGTACCAACAAGCCCCGAAGACATGAAGTAACGCATTATCAATGTCGATTCCAAAAGATAGTATCTTATTAAATAGAACTAATTTATTTTGTTTGAAAAATTATTACTTTTATTACCTACTTATTTTACTCATTCTGGATTTTTTCATTTTAATGTCACCCTATAGTTAAGGTTATAGGTCGTTGGATTCGTCTTTTCATCCTCTACAATTATAATCCTCTACAATTATTAATTTAGAACTTTTTGGCGCCTCTTCTTAAAAAATAATTAAAATTACAATAATGTAGACTTTTCAAAATAATTTAACTTTTGTCTTAAACCTTTTAAAAATAATATTTATGAAGATATCTTAGAAGGCAATTTCTAGTGACTCACCTTGTATGTTTTCTTAATATATGCAAAACTGAGAAAGATCGAGGAAATTTATTTTTACAAATTTAGTATATATTAGAATTCGATGGAAGTTAATTTTTTAATTAATTATCTCTATTTTAACTACTTGTGTGATGACGAATATCGAAAATGTAATATTTTTACAGATTTTCTTTTTGTATGACTGATTATTTTTTATTACAAGCTTTTGTATTTTTATTTTATTTGTCTGTTTTTTTATATTTTATTTCCGTCCCTAAAATCCAAATTTTTTAAATTTAAACAAGTAACAAATAAAAGATATTTTGTTGCCTATTAATTATTTATTCAATTATAATAATATAAATGTATTTCTCTCATTTTTTGAATGACACAAAACTTTTGCAAAATCTTAAATTATATTATCTCTTGCAATTGGCAATACGTAAAGGTAACTCTTACAATTTTTTTTTTTTTAATATAATGTAATATTATTTATTATT